TCTTTTAGTAGTTTATTTTTGAGAGCAATTTGCCATTTGAGGCACTCATATTGGTAAAACTGGTCTAAAACGTTCAAAACGAAACTTGTTAGCATTGAAGTTAGCGTTTATACCACTTTATACCACATTAAAGTAATAACTCTCTGGTAACAATTCAACTCGTTAACTTTTGTTCTTGCTTTCAATATAAATTTGTTGAGAAAAATAGCGTGTGAAGAAACGGCGAGTCGAAAGCAGTTTATACCTAACCTCAATCTACCAACCACTCTATAGCGGAAGCTTTCCATCATCATCATGACGTACTAATTTTTCCGCTATAAAATTTCACCATTTCTAATCTCTAAAATCAACTGATATACAATACATATGTATGTATAATATAAACAGATAAACAAATCATATTCTTTGGCATAAACGCAAAACTAAAGAAATATACTCGTCCATATAATGCCAATGAAATGGAAATGCGCAAAACTAAAAGCATAAACAAAACGATTGCCAATCAAATCCACAAAAGGCAGTTAAACGAAATATATGAAATTTTTTTGTTCAAGCAAATGCAGAAGAATTAAATAATCAAAGCGAGAATGGACATATGAGTGATTGAGTGACTAAGTAGTCAATAAATAATAAACTTTATGCGGAAAATTGCACGTAGAGAGAGATAAATTGAAATTGAAAAGGAAATCAACCGAAGTGAAAATAATCATTGCATACAAAAACAACATAAAGAATTAGAGCACTTTATATGTGTATACATGAGATACAATCAGTTATGGTTATAAAATAATCAGTTTGAATGAAGAAGTATGCGAAAAAGTCGAAAAACGTGTGTGACCTTAAAACACATATCAATAATTTCAATAAATAATAAACAATTACATAAATTAAATCTAAAAATTAACAAATCTAATATTATAACTAAGAAATTATTTGAATTATGTAATATTAAAAATTTTAAAAATAAATTGCGTCGCACTGTCATTAACAAATAGCTGATGGTGATGATGCGTTTCCGATATGTGAGTATCGATAACAATATTCACATTTCGGTGGCAATTTGATAGGTTTGATAAGTAGAAACAGTCTATTATTTTTACTTATTTAGTTGTTAGGCGCATAAACAAACGTTAAGAAAATATTAAAACTCAAAATATAATATAAATGCAAAAGCGAAGATTTCTATGCGATTTTTTCTAACGCAACTTTTAATCTCTCGAAAGCGGCAGGCTCATAATATTGCACAATTCCATTTGTAGGTCACATTGTGAATTTTTAATGCTTGCCTTTGTATTGCAACAGTGTTGCAACTCGAGCTGTGAGTCATTGTATTATATTGCAGATCTGTGTATAGATGCAAAGCTTATTTAAAAACGCATCAAGCACATAAAGTCAGCTACACGCGCACATACCACACATTAGCCTTAATGTTATGCACTTTTCAATTAAAACACTCAGTGGGCGTTCGAACGTTCTTGAGTTAATGAGTCAGCTGACTTGCAGGGGTGTGCTGCTGCTGTTGCCTGCAGGTGGGATGGGCGGTGTTGTCTGTAAATGCGTAGTTAAAAATGTAATTAGTATTTAAAAGCGGGGAATCATGTAGAAAGATTGTGCAAAGAACGGTAAAGTAGTGGAAAAGGCAAAGTATTGAGTTAAAAATTTTAAGGAAACGAAATAAATGTTTAAAAATGAAATAAGTAAAATGCAAAAAGTTGAAATAAGTATGTAATACACTTTTAAATATGACTATTACTGTTAAAATATTTTTGTTTTAAATTAATTAATTATTAATTTTTTTTTAATTTTTTTTAATTATTAATTTTTTTTAATTGTTAATTTATTTTTTAATATTTTTTTAATTAGTTTAAAAAAAAATTTTTTTTACTATAATATTTTAATTTATTTATATATATTTTTGATTATTTTTTATTTAATATCAGTTTTATAATTTTTTTAGTTATTTATTATAATTTTTTTTTTGATTATTGCGTTTTTAATACATTACTTTTTTTTTTTTTTTTTAATACAGTCCTTTTTTTTATTTATTAATATTTTTTTATTTTTGTAATTGCTTTACCACAAAGTGTCTCTCATTGTCTTACATTGCTACTCGAGACTCCAACTCGTCAAATTTGTCCTCAATTTTATCTACCAGTTTTCCATATCTTGTTTATTTCTTTTCAAATATTTCCATACTTCTTCTCCTCATCTGCCGCTTGTGCCACCACATAATTTCGATAGACATTTATTTAATTTTCATTAACTCACATGTCAATCTGCTTAAGCAGCACTTCAAAAATAAATCAAATTAAGCTGTCAATTTTCTATAGGCAGCAGCAAAAACAACCAACAAAAGCATATGAAGAAGAGTCAAACCAAACAAATATTCACAAGCGATGCGCTTCATAGTTATGTGAACAATTTTCGTATTTGTATTCACAACTCTCAAAGAGCCACACACACACATACATATATCGCTTCAAAGCAAATAACTTCATTAATATTAAAAAAAATCAATGGGCAACGAAAGGCAGTAGCCTCAACAACAACAACAAGTAGCCGACGAAGAAAGCAAAATAAATTACAACATATCAGCAAAAGCGAAAAGTAAAAGAGAAGTTACGAGGGGGAAATATCAGACGGAAGTTGCTGCTTTCTGTATGCTAGTGGGAACCGATACAAGCTGCTGTGTGGCAGTCAGATGTATGTATATGGGGTAGACTGTGAGGTGTGGGCTATGAGACAACCTCGTGAGATGATATATGTATGTATGTACCATACAAATACATATGTATATGTATATATTGAGGCGTTTAGGCTATCAGAAACAGACACAGACAGTCGATCAACCTGCAGAACTGTTTGGTGGCAAAGCATTCTGCTTTTACTAAGTTCGTTTAAACACAAGACCAGTTGATATTTCGCTCGAAGTCTCGCTCTAACTGCGATTTATGTCTGATACGAATTTCTATACCCGCCTTTAATTTTTAAACACGACAAAATTCGCTTAGGTAAATACAAACTCTACTCGCTAGAGCACACTAGCAATGGTTTATTGGCATAATACTTATTTTAGACTGTAATTGTATGGCATGATATAAGCTTGTATATTTGAATATTTTTATAGTATTATATATTGCTATACATTTGCAGCTCCTCACCCCAAATATACTACTTTTAAGAAAATAATTTGTTCTTGCCTGAATACTTGTCAGTCCACTTGGGGGAGGATAGCAGCAGCTTGGGAATATACATAGTTATTTTATTTGCTGTGTTATAAGAAATTCTGGCTGCCCGAAATTTTCGTTGGCTCATTACTCATAAAAAATGAAGACAATGCGTTGAAAGAGAAGCGAAAGAAAGGAAATTGTGGGAAGTGTAATGAGTTGGGAAAGAAAAATTATTGAAGCATAAAGTTGGAGCGGCAATTCGTAGGCGTGTGAATGTAATAAGAAAGACTATAGCATTGAAAAATGTATATAAATTTACAAACTAAAAATATTTTAGATGAAAAAAATATTCTTAAAATTTGCTTAGAAGTGACTTAATTTTTGAAATATTATATTTATAAAATAGTTGTTCAACATTTTAATAGCTAATCATGCATAATAATGAGACAAGCGTGTGAACAGCGTGTAACGATTGACAATTGATTGTAATCGATTTTCGTGCATTGCACGTCAATTGTTGCATATTTATTTCAAAGAAAAAGCGTGCCATTTAATATTTCACAATTTGTTATGAGCAGCAGCACTTATTTTTTGCTTAACAGCATTTTTGTCATAGCAAATTCTTGCTGGGACTCATAGCTGCGCGTTTGTTGGATATTTGCTCGTGCATATAGCTTTAGCTACGCACAACGTTCAAAGCAATAAATAGCAAAGCTCATTTTGCTAGTGATTTTTTTGTGGTGTTATTTCTTTCACTTCTCTATTATTCACTGCCAAATTGTGGTATCTGCTTGAGGTGCTGCTGCAGTCGTACGAAGCTAAAGAAGCTGTGGCAGCTGTAGCAAGTTAAGCAAACAGTCGTAAATACAGTTATCAACAGACAAATTTATATATACATAAGCATATAGTGGTAAGAGTAGTAACACTTCGAGTAGGACTGCGGCGGATTAAGGCGCGCACGCACACGCAGTAAGCCACCTAATGTTAAACCAAAGCTGTTCAAGCCGCACACCACAGCTCAAGTGTTACAAGTGTGACGAGCGCACTCATCGTCAACGCGCAGGTTACTTTGGGGACCTGCAATAACACTTTGTTGGCCTGAACAAATAAACGAGCGCACTGCTAAATAAACACAATAGCACACGCATGTATACCTTTCTAACTGATTTCATATGGCAACATTCAATGCATGGCGCTGCAGTTGGTGGCATTTTAAGTGAGTTGTTGTTATGTTTTTGTATGCTTGTTATGGCTGGCTGTCGAGTCATCTGTACAAGACAACGATTTTATAATTCAATCATAAAAATCTGGCTGTGTTGCAAGCAGCAGCAACAACAACAATTACATGATTTACACGTGCGACAAGTCAGTAAACAAGTAAAATAGCAGCAAACTGTTTTTTTTTCTTCTTCTTGTTTTTACTGCATTTTTGTTTACGTTGCTGCCGTTCACGCTTTTGTCTGCAGCAAATAAGTAGCGACAGCTACAAACAGATGCCCGTTCGCTTATGACAGACAGGCTTGCTATAGTTAGCTGGCGTGGTTGTTGTAGCAATTACCACTTTGCATTTGCAATGTCTGCATTTTTCTCGTTTTGTTTGCATGTCCGTCTGTTTGTCTGTCCATTTGCTGACGTACATACATATGTATTATATGTGGTGTTTATGTTGTAGGTGCGCCAATGCTAGCGCCAGCGCTGCTATTTATGCGCATACCAGCCAGTTTCGA